TCCACCTTGCCAGTTAGTAGGATTAGTGCTAGTATATATTTCTGTGGCAGTGGCACTTAGGGACACCAGTGACAGAACAAACACCTGCTGCATATGGCCCCATTGTGCTGGGTAATATGCAGAGACACAAGTGACAGTGCCTTTCTTAAGAGCTTAAAATCTACAAAGACAACAGGAGTGGAAACGGTCTCAGATGCAGAGAGATGATGTAATTTGCCCAAGTCCACAAAGCAGTCAGTGGTAGAGGCAGCAACAAAGCTCAGCTGTCTTGGTTCCTAGTCTACTGCCTCGTCCACGAGACTAAGAGAGCACCATAGCAATCACACCACTGGAGCCATTCTTTGTCAGCCCTAGCCAGCTCCATTCTGAGGTTCATAGGAGGTCATCGTCCACTGTACGTGCAGGCTAAGTGGCATCCATTTGCTACTGTATGCATTTCTCTCTTAGGGACAATGTGTGCCTGACACATGGCACTGAGCATATGGTTTCTTGTATGAATGGGACTGCTTCATGGGGGATGGAGCAATGGGTGAGAAAATACAAGGTCCCAGTTCTTTGACTTGGACAAAAAGTTCTCAAGGGGAGGCTCCCCCTTTCAGTGCGGGTAGGGACTTCTGGGGCAGTGGAAAATATAGCTACAGGCACCAAGCACTTAAAAAGATACAAATAAAAACAAGGAGCCATTTGAAAATGCTGGAGGGAACTTAAAACCAAGGGGACATCCCCTCTTTCCCCTTCCTTAATGTGGCAGCTATTAACTTCACACATCTCCATGCAGGTATGTGGGCCAGAATCAGGTTCCCTCACTGCTATGTGCACTGATTACTCAGGCCAGCTGCAGGTCTTTGAGTTCCCCCGTGAAATCATCTGTAGATACCCAGGAGAGGGATACCATTATCCCATCACTTCCATCTCTTCCCAATTGCCCCTCAAACTCACTGATCTATTAGGCACTGTGAACAGACACCCATCAGAGCTGCAACGCACGCCTGTCCAGGTCAGCCTCTGTCCTACTTGAGCTCAGCAGAGGGCCTACCGAGGCACATGTTTACCACCTCCCCAGGGCTGGTCAAAATTTTTTTGAGGGGACAGTTCCTTTGGTGGGGTAAAAATCAACCTTTAGCAACAACATCTGGATTTTGCTGACATGTGGACAGGAAATCACCCCCTCAATTGGTTTGGACTTTGCATGTAGCAAAGCATAGTGTGCTAGCGTCTTGCTAAGGTTTTCATTATATTGCTATTGGTGTCAAAATGACACGGTCACAATGAAATGCACCAGCCAGGTGTTTTTGACCTCTGAGCACCACTCCCATTAAGATTTCCATTTCACAGCCAAAATACTGCATGTCAACTTTTTGGTCCCTTTTTGAAAAGCTGGATTTTCCCAGGGATCAGAGCTTCTAGTTGCTGATCAGCTCTTGTCCCTCCACAGAGGGATGATGCTCACCCCAGGGGTCACCAATTCCCACAGTGCTGAAGCATTTGAGTGTGGAAAGCTATTCCCCATAATTCCAGACTGTGGTTATTACAAGTTACCCAACACAGCAATGATAGAGATGCCCCCACAACTAGCCAACTTGGCTACAAGGGGCCAGAGGAGCTTGGCTGATTTTTACCAGCTTAGGACTTCATCCCAAGTTGCCAAGGTCTTCCTAAGTAGTCCCAGTTATGCTGTGAATGACTGTATTTCTAGCATGTCAGAAGTAGAGAGTTCAACTGATTTTTGGTAAGCTCAGAATCCCATAGTTTATGTGGCACATCATCAGGCTGAACCTGTACTGGAAGACTTAACAGAATGGTCCAATTTCATTTTGGTGGCTGACTCCATCCCCCAGCCACATGATAAATATGCAGGTGACAAGGCTGGTGTGCATAGGAAGAGGTGATACAGGGTGTATCTACACGTGCAATTACCCCAACAAAATAAACTCTGTCTCAGTTCACGCCTGGCTGCAGCATTTACATGTGCACCCAGAATCATAGCAATTTGAGCCAGGAAGGAGCAGCCCCAGGCTGGCAAGGGGCCTGGGAGGCCTGCCCCCAGGCCAGCCTCTGGGTGGTGGGATCAGGCAGTGGAGGGGCTGGCTGGGACATGGGGGAGCTACAGTGTGGGGCTAGTGGGCAGGAAGCCTCCTCACTGCAGCACTCTTGTGCCCCAGGCAGCTCCGATCACTGTCTACACATGTGTTGAGGGAGCATAAATTACTGCTGCAAAAGTCCCCAGCACTGAAATTACTTGTCCAGGACAGTAATATCTTAGAGTGGAGTTAATTAATTTACTGTGCCCCAATATGGGCACGTGTACATGGTTATGCTTTACTGCGGAGCTAATTACTCAACTGCAGTAAATCGCACATGTAGATGAACCCACTGTGCACATGGCTGCACCAGCATCCACTCACTACTGCCCAACTGAGCTACAAGCAAAGTCTACCTGGGAGTCTGGAGGCCAGGTCTTGCTGTTCTCATCCTGGCAAATCTGTCACTGAATTAACTGGGGACTTTTGTATGAGCAGAACTACATGGTCTGGGTTTTAATTCCCTGTCTAGCCAGCAAGAAAGGTGAGGCGGTTTCCAGTGTGGCCAACTGTTGCCATGTTAAGTTTCACAGTAGTTAGTATTTTTCTCCAGCGCTGATCTCTTGGCGTCAGGTGATCACAGGAAAATCTTAGTACTTCCAAGTACATTTCTAGCACTTCTTTTTGGGATAGGAGAGTGACCACCTGAGCCCAAATCAAATAAATAAGATCTCCTCATTTATACTGAAAAGGCATTTCAGGATTTTTAAGAATCAGATACAAGATATCTGAATGCTTGGGATCAGCAATGGTGTGACTGCAAACCCCAGCCTGAGAACCTGCAACCTCGACATATCCAGAGAAGCCCAAAGCTGAAAGAACAATGTCTGTTTCCCATTGATGTATCCAGAGAACTTATTCTTTGTCTTCCCCCTCTAGGTTTGGCTTAATTTGTTTAATCTTTTGCTTTCCTGACAACTGAAGTTCATCCAACTCCCTTGAATTTCCTGCCCCAGGAAAGTATACTTATTCCTTGACTCCAGATACATCTCATCCTGCAGACAGAGCAAAAACAAGCAACTGGACTGACTGCCGGTGCTCTGGATTTTCCAAAGGGATGGCTCCAACTTCAGAAACTTTTATGAAGCCTGATTGCCACTGGCAGCACTGTCTGAAAAGCAGGTTCTGCAAGGAATTTCATCCCAACTACCAGCATAATACCATTGCTGTATCTAGGGGCTGCAAATGAGATCATATCCCCACTCTGCTAGTTGCTGTACAAACTAAAGCCGATCTCTGTTCCAGTGGATTTATAATCCCAACAGTCTACGCATAAAAAGAGAAAGAGGCATAAAAAAAGGGAAGCGACTTACCTACAATTACAGAGCAAGTAGGTTGCCACAGTGGGCATAGATCCCAGGTCTCCTGATTCCCTGTACAGCTCTTTATTTGCTACAGAGTTCATATATCTAAATCCAAGAACCAGACCCCGTGGGAAAAGCTCTTTGGATTGATTCACCCTGCAGCTCTTTCCCAGGCACAGACGACTGGTAGGGAGTGCACAGGGGTGCATTTGCCCCCCCTGACAGGGCCAATGCCCCCCCAAAGGCCAACACTAATGCTTTTGGTAGGGCTGGCGTACCCGACAGGGTCGGTGGTTTCTGTGGGTGCCCTCCCAGATTCAGGACGCACCAGTCACTCATGTTCCCAGGTCACTCGCCTCGTTCCCCTTTCTCTGTTCTTACCTAAGGAGAAGCAAGAGCTTCCTGCCTTGCCCTATTTTGGACAAGGACTACCTCTGCAGGGCCTCCTCTTTGTGGCGTGGGAGGCCATCCTCCCTTGCTGAACTATATCTTCATTAGTCTTGCTGTTTTTTTTCCTTGATGCTCTTGTTTCTCAGAAAGAAAAGCTAATTGCATCTCCAGGATGCAACCCCGAGCAAAGTCCAAGACGCCCTTTAAAAAGGCCCTGGCTTCTGGTAGAACCCCCTAGGCCTGCAGATCCCTAATGTATCCACGTTACCGGGTTTTAACGCCACGAGCCGAGCTGTTTGCCAAACAAGTAAATACACAGGTAGGGGAACAGGGCCCAGCTTAAAAATGCCACAGCCTGATTGGACTGAACTGGGCTTATTTAGTTTAGAGAAGAGAAGACTGAAGGGGGGATTTAATTGCAGCCTTCAGCTCCCTGGAAGGAACTCAACCGTTCTCAGTGGGGGCAGAACAAGAAGCAGTGGTCTCAAGTTGCGGCAGGGGAGGTTTAGGCTGGCTATTTGGAAAAATGTTATCACGAGGAGGGTAGTCAAACACTGGCACAGGTTATTACCCAGAGAGGTGGTGCACTCTCCACCCTTGGAGGTTTTTAAGACCTGGCTAGACAAAACTTTGGCTGGGATGATCTAGCTGGGGCGGGTCCTGCTCTGAGCCGGGGTTGGACTAGAGGACTTGCTCAGGTCCTTTCCAGCCAGCACGGCACCTAGCCTCCTGGCAGCCCCAGCCGAACTGTTACTATCCGCTCCCCCCTTTGAGATAATGATAATAATAACCACTGTTTGCACCATTTTGGGGACCCCGGTTCGCCCATGCCTGTGTCCGGCCCTGCTTCCAGCTCGTTTTCTATGATGCCCGGAGCCGCTGGCTGAAGCAGAAACAGATAATGGAGCAGTGCTCCCGTCTCTGATCTCCCCAGGGAAGAAGGACGTGGCCCCAGGTCCTCATTCCCACCCTGATCTGCTTGCGGTGCACACGGCCTTTGCACGCCAGGGGCGGGCTGGGATACGCTGACGCTGGTGCTGGTGCCCCTTCCCCGGGCACAACCTGCCCTCTCCCCCGGCCGCGCGGCTCGGGGATGCTCCCCCCGCCCGGGCCGTGGTGCAGCCAGCCACGGATGCACCAGCCGGGCCAGGCGATTGGTTTGCAAGCCGTGACGTCCCTTAGCATCATCCCCTCCCCATCCTCCTCCTCCTCCTCGGAGCAGCAGCCGCCCGCACGCCCCCTCCCTCCGGCTCCCCCCGCTTTGCAGGCGCCGAGCCGCAGGGCCGGGGCTCGTCTCTCGGGCACCCGGCGGGCGGGTCAGGGGCCGGGCGGAGCCCCCAGGGCACCAGCTGCCCCTCGGAAGGCAGCGGCGCATCATGGCTCCCATCGGGCTCAAGGCGGTGGTCGGAGAAAGTAAGATGCTCGGTTTGGGGAGGCGGCCCCCCCTCTGCCTGCACAGCTGGGGTGGGGGCACTGCCCAACATCTGGATCTTCTTTGCTGGCGAGGATGGAAAGGGGGTGGGGGGGTTGCAGATGCGCAATCCGGACCCCATCCGGAGGGAGGGA